GTAATACGCAGCATAGACCAGGCGCGCAAGACCCCTTTCACCAGCTGCCACAGACTATATGCGGCGTGGATCGGACGAACGAGGTCCCTTCATCCAGCTACCTCCTGACTCAACGCAAAAATATGTACTAGACGCTCTATTCCCGTTATATAATCACCCACTACTGCATTCAACATGGACTAATATTTAAATTAACTTAAATGAGAAATGTGTCTCACTCTTCTATCAAGCATTCTTCACATTGACATTTTTCTTCGTGTTCTTCGGAGTCGGCCTCCTAGATGGAAATTGATATTAAAAAAAAAACATAAAATACTCTTGCTCTTAATTTAATAAAAAACACGATTATTGATAATATACAAGCTATTCCTTTAACTTTGCTTGCTAAGAGGACAGAATAGTGGACATCGAACACATGATTTTCATCCATTCATCCAGTGCAGCCTATAAAAGTTCTCTGCTGAACATAGGCCTCCCTCATAGATTGCCTCTTGGGGGGATTTTGCCATAGTTGTCGCTCTTAGCAAGAGGGTTGGCAACCGCAGTTTTTTTATTACTTTGAGTTGTTATCAGGAAGATGCTGCGGCCCATCTCCTGTTTCATTTTCCCTATGTTGCCTCTTACAACAACTAGGGACGATATGGAGTAGTGGATATTCTTACACAGCCACTACACGGTTAACACGTGTTTTAAGTAAGTATGTGTAATTGGTTTAAATAGCTGGTGTATTATTTTTAATAAAAGATAAGGCTTTAATAACACCATAGCAAATATTATTTTGTATAAATTTAGTTACGTCAATTATAAACTTACTTACTACTTTCAGACATTGTTCTTTTAGTAACAATTTTCCATATCAGCATGCTATTTGCATAATAAAACAGGACATCATATAAGTAGCGGCACGAAAGTCTAACGATGACCGTTAATGTGCATAAGTCGCGCTGATTGTGGCTTATTGCGGATACGTCACGCTGATAAGCTCGTGCTTAACCTTCGCGCGCGCTGATTGGCTTTCCAGTCGCATTCGTGCAATTCAATTCGTGCGGCTCCCCTCCACTATTCGTTCAACGCTACACTTACGTGCCGCGACTTGTACTACATTATGAGATCCTCTTGGATAATTTTTTAAAGCTAATTTCCGAATAATCTGAAGCTATCGACTGTGCATCATATCATCCCGCAAGTCTAGTAAAAGTCGGCAGATGAAACTAAAACAGGTGAAGGGCAGCAGCATGTTCCTGATAAGAAGTGAAAATAATAAAAAACTGCGGTTTCCAACCAGCCGGCTAAGTGCAACTGTGGTAAAATGTCCCCTACAAGGCAATCTATATGGGAGAGATATGTTCAGCAGTGGACTTATGAAAGATTTGTAATGAATGTGCTGAAGATATTACAGTTTCACAAGCATAAGCGCATACCTTTACAGAAGCATTCACTAGTATAGTGTCTGATGTCTGTCAAATAATTTAATTCAAAGAGTAGTCAATCTTAGGTGTAACTGAAAGTGGGGTTTGTAGCATGGGTAACGGTCCTCATAAGGAGTAAGGACAGTCATGTACCGTGTACTGTGATATTTAATCTATACAAATAAATAAAATTGAAGTGTTTGATTGTAATGTCAAAAATAGAGCTTTTCACTCAATGCATATGAAAGTATATACGGTACTAATAACAAAAATACAATTTTAAAGTTTTTATCTGTATGTTCGTCTGTCTGTTTGTTCCGGGTAATCTCCGAAACGGCTGAACCGATTTTGATAGAATTTTCACCGGCAGATAGCTGATGTCACAAGGAGTAACTTAGGCTACTTTTATTTTAAAAAAAGAATTAGGGTTCCGCGCAAAAAATTTAAATCTCCAAATAACACGCGGGCGAAGTCGCGGGGAACAGCTAGTGTTTAATAAAATTCTACCGTCGTGTGGTAAAATTAAGACAGTTCTTAAGAGACAAGAGAATATTTATATAACGTCTATTGCTTTATAAAAGACTAGCTGGCCAGGCAGACGTTGTTCTGCCCTTTTTGACGACCCTTCATATAAAAAATTCTTAAATTCGTAATAAAAAAGTATTGAGTGTAACTTATCAGGATAAAACTATCCTATCTATCAAGTTGGACCAAACTGCACAGAGTGTGCAAAATTTCATTGAAATCAGTTCAGTGATTTAGGAGTTCATCGCGGACAAACAACGTGACACATAATTTTTATATATAATGATTATTGACAGCAAATATTTTTTCTGATGTTTTTTTGTTCGTATATGTTTGTTGTTTATAAATACGGTTAAACATATGATAAGTTACTGAACTGAGAGTGCGTGTTGCCAGTGATGACTTACGGAACTGAGACGTGGTCCTTCACTGCTGGCCGTATGAGGAAGCTCAAGGTCGCTCAGCGAGCTATGGAGAGGGCTATGCTCGGAGTTTCTCTGCGTGATAAACTTAGGAATGAGGATATCCGCAGTAGAACCAGAGTTACCGACATAGCCCAACGGATTAGTAAGCTGAAGTGGCAGTGGGCCGGCTATATAGCTCGAAGAACCGACAACCGATGGGGAAGAAAGGTTCTCGAGTGGCAGCCTCGTACCGGTAGGCGAAGTGTAGGGCGTCCCCCCACGAGATGGAGTGACGACCTGGTAAGACATGCAGGAAGTCGATGGATGCAGGTGGCTCAGGACCGTGCTCTGTGACATTCTTTGGGGGAGGCCTATGTTCAGCAGTGGACTTGTGAAGGGCTGTAATGATGATGATGATGATATGATAAGTTAATAATTTAGGTGCTTAACCAAATCACAAAAATTAAAAAAAAATCATGTGCGTATTTCATTGACTGGATATGGCTATAGGGAATAGAGATTACGGGCCAGCATCAACAGTACTTGAAAAAAAAGAAAAAATATGGTTCTTACAATCATTGCAGGGCGTTTGCCGGTCCAATGATAAGGCTACAGGGAATAGTGATTCCGGACTTGATAAAAAAAGAGAAAATAGAAAAAAGGATGATTCTATTAAAAAAAGGGAGAAATGATTGCAGTGCTTGTGCTGATCCAATTGTATGGCTACGGACTAATCATTCCGATCTAGCATGAAGAAGATTATAGTTATGTAAGCCTTACTGCCGGAACAAAACTGATTGTCGCTCAAGTCTGAAGGGTCAATATGGACCGGACCAGACGCTGTTTTATCAGGATGATCGAACGATGTTTTTCTTTCTACAGATAACTAAGATAGTGATGGAGCGCGTGCGAGGACGCACGCATGTCAGCATGGCCGTGACGGCAACTGCACCATTACAGGTGCGGCGGCGTCGGTGTAGCTAGACAGAATTCTTGTAAACGACACGTGTACCGCACACCTACGGCATTGCACCTGCGGTGGCGCCCGTTCTGCTTGTATAAAACGGACGGAGCAGCCACCTTTAAAGCAGTCTTGGCTCTGACATGGCACGGTGTGCTTGTTGTATTCCGTTACTAGTTTATCCTTGACTCGTAAGTTTAATTAATTCGTGCAAACGAATTAATTATTATTCTTAACTACCCTTAACTTACTTAATTTAACTTTCTACTTATATATTAATATTATTATCTATGAATCAAACTAAGTTCTTGTTTATTTACAATATGCAAGACGGAAGTTTGAACTCGTTTGCTTTGCAATATATATCTAGATGCGTAAGCATCATATTACTCTGTGCTAACTAGTGCTCACCAGTTTTACTCATTGATATAAGAAAAACTTATATCTATGGTTTTAATCTACTCGGTGTGCCGCACAGAGTACTTTTTATATACTGAAAGTGCGCCGAGTTGACACCGTAGATAGAGGATTGACAAGGAGTAATAGTGTTCTGTGGTTGACACGATAAACGATAACTTTTCACTTTTCACAAGTTCACAACTTTTCACCCGAGAACAAAGTTAGACAAATTTAATCGAGCCAATCGAATGAAAATATGGCTCAAGTTGCATCACTAAATGACACAGTGTGACCATATGTGGCAGGTTCCTGCCATTTTGGCAGGATTGGTCTTTTATTTTAGCCTCTGGCATGTTCGGTTGACGTTTTATAAAACCTGGCAGTATTTGGCAGTATTGGGGTATTAAAAATATATTTCATTATGGCAACTTAAAATGACGAAAATGACAACCCTAGATACTTCACCAGCATGTTGGGGATTTCCCTGTATTTCTCGATTTCTCGTATAATGCTTGTATCACATTCAATAAATAACTTTAAAATTTTTGTGTATAAAGTTGATAATCTTAACACGAGTTGGTTAATATTTCAATCAGTCATAAAAGAGACGTACTTTAGTATGTTATAGAATTAGATTTCATCACGATGAAATCTTGTTAATAATATTTCGTGAACGATAATAATTATAGATGGCGGTGATGAAGCGAAAATAAGAAAGGGCGTATAGAGCGAAGTGGAAGCAAGCTTTTATTTTCATCATGGATCTCAAAAGCCAAAGGTATTAGTATACAGTCTGGATTATCTTATATATATTAGTAAAGGTGCCGGCTGTCCGCTTAAAGGAGCATGCCGCTACTAGTAAACATCAACAAAATATGAGTGGATTCAACATGCGAAAGAATATTCTCTAAAATAAATTTAATTAAGACAAAAACACGAAAAAGATTTCTAAATAAACATTTAGCGTCTATCTTGTAGGTTAAATAAGCATGGCGATTGCATTGCATTAGAACCAACGAAAGATATGTTTGATTTTAATTTAAAAAATATAGCATTTGTATGTGTATTTTGACTTTTCTTAGTTTAATACAATGGTAAATAAAGTTGGCAGTATTTAGGCATTTTTCATTACAGATTTTGGCAGGATTTGGCAGGTTTTTAACCAAAGTATGGCAGGATCTGTATTTTAAAGATGGTCACACTGATGACAGTTATTTGTTTACATAGTACATACTTATTACTTAACTTTATAACCATAGAACACGTGTTTAAGAAGTAAAATTTATAAGTAATACATAAAACATGCCTAAATTACATATAGACGAAGTAGATACAAAAGACAGTGTATGCCCAATGATTGTAAATTTTCAAAATGGCTACATAACTAATGAATTTCGGCCAACCGAATGTATATTATTTCAAAACGAAAAATCTGAAAGCATAACTGTTGCTACTGACATAAATGACTTCATTTACTCTGGAGAAGAAGAGAAAGAAGATTTAGGAAAGACTCTTATATTAGCTCGAAATAAAATCACTGGCAAAGTAAGATTAATTGAAGTTGGTACCGTAGAACTTAAACCAGTCTTAAAAGTTGATTTGGATACAACTCAGTTTTTAGAAACAAGTAATTTAGAGCTAAGCAGAAAGTTTGGGTCAAAGAAACAGAAACAGCAAGTAGAACAACGCGAAAAATTAAAAGTAAATGTCCAAATTGTCAATGAGCAAATGCAAAATGTAACTAAAGATATAACAGAAGATACTTTGGATCTTTCCTCTTACGATAAAGTTGATTCAGACGACTTCTACATACCACCAATCAACCGAGATGCAGACAAACCTGAATTAATTTATGAATTTGACAAAATATTGAAAGAAGATGAGTTTGAAAAAATCTATTCAGAGTTAGAAGGTAAAGATTTCACTGCTGATATGCCAGTATGGATTAAGAACATGGTTGCAACAAAACAGAATAAAAAGCATATAGTCTTAGCAGTGTATGCTACTGCCTTATTTAAATTGTATTCAACAATGGTTAGAGAGATAACAAAAAAAACATTTAAGGTTTGTGAGTTCTCCCCCACACTGAATAACATAGTATTAGCAAATTTTATATTGACAACTAATGAAAAACGTAGCAGACCAACTCCTTACAAGGATAAAGCTTTATGTCATGCTATAGTTTTTCTTCTTTTAATTAATAATCTTTCCTTAGACTTGGAAGCTTTGTGCCAGGGTGTAAAATTAACACCTAATACTGTATCTTCAAAATTGAGAGTGACGGGTGCTTCGGTTCTTACTGTTGGCAATAAAAAAGTTGTGCAGTTAAAATTACCACTGAGAACTAAGACAGCTTTTAGAAGAAAGAGTGCTAAGTTTTAAATTAAATTGTTAAATCAAAATGATGAAATTTTTTAATTGGATGTCCACATAATATTTTTTCAATGTTTTTTTTTTCAAAGTAGCAATATAAAATTATTTTTTAGAAAATATAAGATGGATTAATTAGTGTTTTCTTGATATAGGGCTACTCATATTATCGTATAAATGCCATATGGTTATGATAGAGGTATTTTAACCCCACAGTGTGGGGTTAAAATACACACAGGCGCACCTTCTCATGGAACTTAAGTGGGTGTGTGTATAGCATTTTGCCACTCTTAGAAGAACTAAAATATTACATATTAAATGTTTAAATTTACTATAAATGAGACAAGGTTAGCCTTAAATAAAACATAAGCTTTTAGAAAAATCAAACTTTTTAATTCAGTCTCATAAATTAGTCTCAAAAAATCGAACTTAAAGTTATTCTCAAAAAAATGTAACAAAATATGGATCGTCTTCAATAATTTCTTATATAATAAACAAAACTGTAAGAAATTATAAAAAAAAACTACTTTTTAGGCATCTTGGCCGTATGCACCGTCAATACAACCCTCACACAGGTAAACACAGTGCTCGTTGCACAGTAATTTTGCACATATTTTGCACCCTTTTTTTGTTTGTCGATTTTTTCTCGTAGGACATATTGAGCATATTCCCTCTCGCTTTTCATGGGTTTCTTGGTTCTCTATTGGTACAAAGCGAGCGATTTATCTTTTTAGTGAACTCGGGAATGTCATTATGCTAGATCTTTTCATTAAATGTGGTCTGACCAAGGCAACGGATATCTCTTTTAGGTACATTCTACGCAGTAAGACAGTTTTAGTGTTTGCTGTGTAAATAATTTGACTATTTATCCCGCCAATATTCAAAATCGAAAAGAATAATCTCATTGTCCACCTCCGAGTCATTTTGCCCACAGAGTATTCTTCTTTCATCTGGTCAACAGTATCCACTCCACCCTTAGTACCGTTATAAAATGTGATTACTTCTGGCTTCGCATCATCACTGGTTGATTCGTCTATCTTATCGTCATCATGCACTGTTGACAAAAGTAGAATGACTTTTTTTGGTTTCTTGTTAGGAACATAGGACTTTTTTTTATTGAAACCAAACATTGTACTTGGGGTAGCTCTTTCTTTCGTATTGAGAAAAGCGGAATTTCTTTTTTATTTTTTCTCAAAGTACCCACAATAGTTGTACGGTAAGAATGCACAAGTTGATTAGCAAGTGTAATGGATGTGAAATAATTGTCCATTGTAAGGTTTCGGCCTGTGTTCAAAATATTTTTGGCCAATCCCATCACCAGGGATGTAGGACTATTGTCAGCAGAAAAGCTTCCGTTCCGAAAAGTTGTTTACCTGCATAAACTTCCAAATGACTGGTATAGTAGGACTTTGAATCAACGAGAGCATTTATTTTTATGCCGTACTTGACTGGTTTATTTGCCATGTAAACACGAAACTTGCATTGTCCGCTAAATTACTCCAACATCTCATCAATAGTACTATTTTCTCCAATCTCATAATAAGCTAGACAGTTACTTACAAAAGATTCAAAAATATCTCTCATTGCCGCCATGTTATCTAGCTTGACTCGCTCCGTTCTAGTATGAATATCGTCAAAACGAATGTTCCTCATTAAACAGCTCTTGATTGATATGGTTGCTTTGAATATATCAGGGGGAGTACCATCGTCATTCCACATTTCCTGAATATTCACATGATGCATTTTTTTCAAGCCTGCCATCAAAAGAAGACCTATCAAAGCTTCTATTTCTAATATATCAGTTTCTTTAGTATCTCTTTCTCGTAAAAAAATTCTTGTGCTCCTGATTGTTCGGTATCACCATTAAGTTCCAAATGTTCACTGTCCCGATCGCTTTCAGACATACTTTCGTCGAAACATTGTGCACCGGTCTCTTCTAAGTCAGACTCCTCTAACCACGAACAAATTTGCGCGTCTTGCTTATTTATTTTGCTGAAATGAAAAGCTGAAAAACAATACCTCAGAATAAAAAATAACTCTTAATTTCATAAAATTATACTACACAGGTACATAAATAAACAAAACAATGCAGTACTTACCAAAAAATAAATGTCATTTGGCCAAAAATAAATAAGTTTTAACGTGAAATTTTAACTACGTCAGTGGGCGCGCACTTAGCAATTTGCCGCGTCGTAGGACCAGTGCACAACAACTTCATCCTCCTGTGGTCGGCTGCGCACCATAGATAAATATATATGTATGCTGCGCACTGATTGCACAGAACACTATTACTCCGATTGTTTCGTAAATCGTAACTACGAGGGGGGGTGGGGGTGCGGGAGGAGTGTATAGGCAGCTACTAAGACGCTTGACCTTCAATTACTAACGGTTTAAATATTATTAACATTTTTTTACAAAGTGCGGCAAAATGCTCATAGCGCGCCCACTCTAGGGTTAAGGACACAAAATTACTTGAACTTGGTGTGTCGAGAGTAAAGCACTCCTAATGCATTGGTGTGTGTGGAAGTGTGCAATAATGTATGCATGCAATTATTACTTTTGTATAATTTGATGGGAAAATTGAGTATGTAAGTACATATATGTATGTGAGGGATGTGGCTTATTGGCCACGCCCACCAGTGAGTTCGAGCCGCAACTTGTGCCACCTTAATTTCATTAAGAAATAGTGATGGACAGTTTTTTTACAATATCAGGAGTTGCTGTTGGATGAAAAGAAGTTTTATAATTTATGTAGAATGAGTTAAGAATGAATTCCAGCTTTGAATATTTATTGAAGTCCTTAGAGCCACATACCGAAAAAAAACTCAAACAACTTGCCGCTCCGGCGTCGCAAGCAGTACACCCCTTCCACTTCGTCTCGGGGGCTTTCAGTCAGTCGTGAGTCAGTAACTTGCTACATATACTATATTTATTTATCTATGGTCGTGTGCACGTTGCGTTAACGCAGTGCACCGTGTGTACAGTGTACACTTTGATTATTAGTATATAAAACGATGCAGTGACACTGACAGCACTAATTCAACACAACGCTGACGTAACCCGCACTCTTATAAATCACAAACACGAACATAAACGATATCAAAATTACACAAATATAGACATAACATGGTGCATTAATATTTTATCATGAATTACTGCTTACTTATTAAATAACATAAAACAAGTTTTGTCTTTGTTTAGACATCTTCTTCTTCTTATTCGTGTGCTTCATTACTGAAGGTCGTGCTTGTCCTGAAATGCTTTCACTAATGTGTCGACTAGCTTCTTCCATACCACTCTGTCCTCGGCTTGTCTCAGGCCAATCGGAATATTAAGTCCCGTTATATTTTGAATTTGGTGGGACCAGCGGGTAGGTAATCGCCCACGTGATCTTTTTCCTTCGATCTTCCCTACTACAACCAATTTATCCAGATTGTCTGGTTGTCTCCGAGCAATATGACTAAAATGTTTAGACATAGTGTGACATAAAATTTTTGGCAAGTCACTAACAATTTTAATTTACATCTTGGTAACTTGCAACGCTGCCTAGGGTTAGACCAAAGCGGAAAATAGTCAATACCATCAATTTCGGAATCTCTAGATGGTACATTAGCTCTCGGCTTCTTTTTTCGTTATCAGAAATCAGCGATGATTGTCGTCCTCTTTTTCGAGTAAGTGATGGCCACGAGAGCTTTAGCTACTTTCGTTCAAAATTCACATAATTTCATCAAACGGCCATTATTTTGCCTTTGCTCTTCTATTCCATGTGTCGGTTGTGGTGACGTATGATGTTAGGCAATGGAGTCCTAGCTTGTCATTGTCCTTGAAAGGAGTAGAAGGTTGTTGAAAAATATATTTTTTTATTTCTAGTTCTTACTACCGGATGAGCTGGTCTAATTAGAGACTGACTTTTTTTTTAATTTATTCATAGAAAGAGTGTTACATTATTTACATTTCAAACTTTGCCAAACTGTATGCCAGTTTGTCGGCAACAAACTGGAATGATCTCGTGACGAGCCTCTACTCAAAACAAGTGAAAAGCTGGATTCAGGAAGACTTGCTGTCCGTAATTACAGCCGAGGTACTTGCCTGTACTGCATAGGCAACCAGTTTCTTCAAAAAAATTATCCTGAGATAATTGAAGATTACCCCCTATATATAATTGAAGATTAACCTAATCCATTCAACCCCAAATCACGAGTGATCAAATCATCGTCGATGTGAATAACCTGACCTCCTGTATTTATTTATATTCAAAAACACTTCTTAATATTTTTTTCCGATTTTTTTTTACATTCACGTTAATTAACCTAACTTATCCACCCGCAAATTTGAATAGAAATACGTTTGAAGTACACCAGCGACAACTTGTCAACTGGGTAAACTATTGAACTGAGAAGTGATCCTTCACTGATGGCCGGATGATGAAGCTTAAGGTCGCTCAGCAAGCTATGGAGAGGGCTAAGCTCGGAGTTTCTATGCGTGATAAACTTAGAAATAAGGATATCCGCAGTAGAACCAGAGTGACCGACATAGCCCAATGGATTAGTAAGCTGAAGTGGCAATGGGCCGGCCATATAGCTCGAAGAACCGACAACCGATGGGGAAAAAAGGTTCTCCAGTGGCGGCCTCGTATCGGCGGACGAAGTGTAGGACGTCCCCCCATTAGATGGAGTGACGACCTGGTAAGACATGTAGGAAGTCGATGGATGCAGGTGACTCAGGACCAGAGCAATCTACCTAGTAAGGTCATAAGTATTGTCACACAGTAAAAACTTTTCTTTTAGAATGCTGGCCACAAAAAAGTTTATTGAATTCGAATTGTTCATGAAAATAAAACTGTATACTTTTAGAATTTTACTCATTTTTAAATATAGAGTGGACGCTTAAAGCGTCTCCCACACAGAAGCGGCTTGCGGTGGCGGCTAACCGCAAGCCGCGACCTTCATATTTATTTATCTATGGCCGCGACTCCAGCCGCTGCAACAACATACCTCCGCGGTCGCAGCGGC